GCAAGAAAGGCTGTAAAATGGGACAAATTTCACTTAACAAATGTCTCACATAGCAATAGAAATTTTGGGCTCAATTGTAGTCGTACGTCGAGGACTACCTGTAGCCAAAGAGTGACAAGCAACGGGCTAAAAATCCGTCAACGAACCTGTCACTTTCACCCGTCTTTTTTATTTGACACTGACAAGGGAATCCCTCTTCTGTGCAGGATGATGATCGGTCCGTAAGACAAAGTTGATCAGACTGATTGGCCTGCAAAATGAGATCATTCTTCTTGCCAATCCGCCCACGTTTCTCTTCTTCACCTACCAGCCGAACCTTCTCCGCCGGCTTTGAAGCACCGCACAAGGGAAGAGGTTTGGGAGGAGGGAATACGCACGCGCACATACGCAGTTGGGATTTCCCCCCCCCTCTTTTTGTTGTTGTTATTGTTTCCTCCCTCCGCAGTATTATGAGGTCAGCGCGAAGGGATGGCGTGCCCTATGACGTAACCCTCCGTAACCCCCCCCCCGGTTCCTCCAATCCGGACCTATGGAAGGAGCGGAGCAAAGGTAGAGAAGCAGCAGTTGGTTTCTGCTCCTACCAAAGGGGAGGGGGGGCGCGGGAGGCGGCGGAAGGAAAGGAAGGAAAGACCCGGATGCTTCTGCCGCCGCCGCCGCCGAGAGAGGCTGAGCGGGCCAGAGGAGGAGGAGGAGGAGGGAGTTGGGCGTGCGTGCGTGCGGCGGCGGCGGCGGCGAGAGCGGCAGCTTTTCGCCTGTTCGTCTGGGGCGGAGCAGGGATAGACGGCGCCGAGTTTCCCGTCCTGACTGAGCGCGGGGCCCGTTTTCCGCAGGTCGTTGTCGGCAAGATGGAGGAGGCGGGGATGGCTGCGCCGCTGCTGGCTACGGCGTAAAGGTGCGAAGGGCCGGTGGGCTGGTCCGGGATCGGCGCGTTTGCTCGAGGCAGCAGCGAAGGGCGCTGAGCCGAGGCGAGGCGATGCTGTCGGTCTATGGAATATTGCTGTCAGCTCTGCTGGGCTCCTTCCTGACGCTGATCGCCCAGCTCTTTCTCTTTTATCGGAGGCAGCCTGAAGCCGCGACGGGGGAGTCCCGGGTTCGCAACTCCCACTTCTTTGTTACCAGAGTAATGCCCGACTCGACCCTCAAGGAGTACCTGACCGGCTTCCTCATGCTGGGGCAGGAAGCGTTTTTCCCCGGATCCTTTGGATCTTCCAAAAGCGAGCAGGACTTCAAGCCCCCCCCGAGCCAGGAATCTCCCCCCTTGGTGGAGTGTACGGAGGAGACCCTCTACTGGCTCAACGCCATCTGCCTCTTTCTCTTCAGGGAACTCAAGGACACCTCCTTGATCCGGCACTGGGTCACCAAGAAAATCAAGGTAGAATTCGAGGAGCTTTTGCAGACAAAGGTGACCGGCAAGGTGCTGGAGGGTCTCAGCTTGCGGGATGTCTCCTTCGGGAACGTCATCCCCCTTTTTAAAAATATCAAGATATTGCGGCCAGTGACGTGTAATGAGGACGGCTGTCCAGAGGAGCTGGACTTTGAAGTTGACATGGAGTATGACGGGGGCTTCCACTTAGCCATTGATGCAGACCTTGTTTTTGGCAAGTCGGCATACCTGTTCGCCAAAATCTCCAGAATTGTGGGTCGGCTGAGGCTGGTCTTCACCCGTATACCCTTCACCCACTGGTCCTTTGCTTTTGTCGATGAGCCTTTGATTGACCTTGAAGTCAAGTCGCAGTTTGAAGGAAGACCCTTGCCGCAACTTACTTCCATCATTGTCAATCAGTTCAAGAAAGTTATTAGGCGCAAGCATACCTTACCTCACTATAAAATCAGGTGAGTTGCTTTGGATTAAGGAGATACGGTTACAGTGCATCCTTGTGTAAAATGGGTGGGGAAGGGAAGAATACTTCACTGGGTTTAACCTGAAGAAGTTTGGTGAGGACAGTGTGAAATGTAACAGAAATTTCTTCTGGAAGAGTGATAAATGAGGAAATTGAATTACACACTGAATTGGCTTTCCGTGTATAATTCGCCAAAAGAAGCCATGCTTGTTTTCTGAAGAAAGTGTTATGGGCTTTGATAGTGAGTAGTATGCTTAATTTTTATACCCACATTACTCATTAACTATTCCCTTTCTTGGGAAGCAGCATTATGAACAGATCCTAAAAGGAGTAAGAAACAATGAGCCAAAGGAATTAATACATGAATTAAAAAAAGAGGAGGAAGTATAGCCAAATCTAATTTTCACCATAATAATTGGGCTTTTCTTACATCTCTGTTTTGCAAAGCCTTATTTCACCTGGTCCATCCTTGCATTTTGTTTTTTAAAATTATATACAGGTAGTCCTCGACTTACGACCACAATTGACATCAAAAATTCTGTTGCTAGGTGAATTTTGCTCTATTTTATGACCTTTCTTGCCACAGTTAAGTGTATCACTGCCATTGTTAAGTGCGTAACACAGTTGTTAAGTGAACCTGGCTTCCCCATTAATTTTGTTTTTGAGAAGGTTACAACAGGTGATCACAGGACCCTGGGACACTGTAAACCATCATAAATAGTTGCCAAGTGTCTGAATTTTGAACATGTGACCATGGGGACGCTGCAATCGTTGTAAATGTGAAAAACAGTCACTTTCTTCAGTGCCATTGTAACTGTTGTAACTTCAAACGGTCATAAATGAACTGTTGTAAGTCAAGGATTACCTGTAATTGTTTTTCAGAATTTCAGCAATTTCATACAAACACAACTTTCATAGTCTTCCTCTTTCTCTCGACCTATTTACTCTTCCTTCATAGATTTCTTTTGAAATGTTATCTTTATTCCTTCCCTTCACATCAACAAAATACATCAAAGTTCTCAATATTGGTCACTGCTATTAGATTCCTATCCTGAGCAGGGGGTTGGACTAGAAGATGTTGGAGGTCTCTTCCAGCCCTTGATTCTACGGTATATTCACCCCACATTTATACCTCATCTGCTCATTCAGTTGAGAATGACAGCATTGATTTCACTTAATCTGTGATCTTTGGCAGAGCGAGGATGAGACTTGTGTGACCATCTGATTCTCCTTGATATTGATTATGAAGTTCTGGATTGCTAGAGGACTTGGGAGTGGGAGATGCAATGTTGCAATGGTTTTCCTTCTTTTTACATAGCTAGTTTTTATATAGGCTCGGTCTTTGTGGGATGCCTCAGGGCTTGACACTCTCACCTCCTGTTTAACGTTTACCTGAACCAACTGGGTAGTATTAGTTACCATCAATATGATGAGTGAGTGAGTGAGTGATGAGGTTGAGGTTGAGGTCTTGTTCCAGTGCCTAAAGATTATTGGAGTCTGGATGGGGTAGCTATGGGTAGCTGCCCAAGTAGGTATGGTTCATGATTCTTCCAGTGCTAGAGTTTCTCCATTTTTGGTTATAAATAATGTTGCACTTCCCCAGACAGAACTGGTACACAGTCCTGGGCTCATAGCTCCTCAAAGAGTAGATGACAGTTGTGATCTGGAAATTAGTTTGGTGCACCAATAGTACTCTTTTATGGACCAAATCTCTTCTCATAGTTATTTATGCCTTGGTCATCTAACCTGGATTGGGGATTGTACCAGTGGGCCTCGGGGACCATTCAGAAGCTAAAACCGGTCCAGAATACAGCAGCACAAATAATTATGAGCTGACTTCGGTATGACCACTGTTGGTAACTAGTGAGCATGCAAATAAAATTCAACGTGTAAAGCCTTAATGGGGTAGGGTGTTGCTTTCTTAGGAACCACTTCTCTCCTATGCTCTTTTCTTGTCTATAATACCTGGCAGAGTGATGGGCTTTATTTCCTATCCATTAATCATTGTCCTCTGATGAGATCTAAGTGTGACTTCTCTGTTATAGTCTTTGGAATAGCATCCCCTGGAGGTTTAAAATAAACCAGGCCTTCAATTTAAACAACTTTTGAAAAACCTTTCCCCCCCCCAAGCTCTGGGTTAGTTCAGGGATCCTAGTGTTCTCTTTCAGTTAATGTTGTATGCTTGTTTCTGTTACGCTTGTTATCTTTTGCTTGATTTTAGATCATGTGCTTGTTTTTTTTTTTATTTGTACACCATCCACAGTCAGTGTTGAATTGGTTATAAATAAAACAAATCAGTATATAAAATAGGCAGCTCTCTCACATGATGGAGTTATGGATCTGAGGTATTACTTTAAGAACCTTACGCATATTTAAAAAGCAAGGGTTCTAATTAGATGCAATCTTTAGTATAAAGTCAGGCTCTAAATGTCACAGTGGCTAACTTGAAAAGTGCTAGGAGAAGTTTGATCTCTGTCTTACATGTGATACTGAACTGTGGCATACTACTTTTAGCAGCCTAAATCCTGCTACTCACAGTGCTGGTTTTTGGTTGCTGTACCTGCATTTTGGAATAACCTTCTCCTACGAATTTGATCTGCCCCCTTTGCTGTTGGCTTCCCGTAAGTCAACATAAACTGGGAAATAATTTTGATTTTGCAAATCCTTGAGAGGGTCTTGGGGGACGACCACACTTTAAGAAACACTGCTATAAACTATTTAAAACTGACCTTTTTCAGAAAGCCTTGTTTGTTCTTGTTTTATTATTGATAGATGTAAACTAATAGTCTCCTTGAATGAAGGAGGAAGGATATATCCAATAAATACACACATCTCTGGAAAAGAGTAAAACTCATGGGTTAACTGATGTTCATTTGACAAAAGCGAAGATTACTTTTCATTCATGTGTGGGGGGGGAGTTCTTTTCTGTATGCAGTTTCAGATTTCTAGACAAGTTAAAAAGATTTTGTAACTCTAGAGCAGGAAAAGGCTTTAGAATATTACCTTTTAATTGCACCAGTGTAAAGTTTTCTATTTTTCAATCAGAACTACTATAGCAAAATTAGCATTCATCTTTTCACTCTAGTGTGTTTGCGCATGTCTTGTGAATTCTTTTCATTATTTCAAAAGTATTCCTGCATTTTTTCTTATAAAGATTGATACTTTAACCCAGAATCAGATATTGTATGTTCAAATATGATGATTAATTCTCATTTGAGTAGCATTTGTGGTGATTGCCCAGTTTCAATAAATACAAGGAAGTCCTCTTCTAATAATAGATGTGTAGGTTTTACAAATATTCTGTGTATACGTAAAAGGGGAAGAAAATCTGCTTGATTAATTATGGACAGTTTTGTAGCCAGTCAAAAGCTGAAGCCTACTTTGCAAATCTAACGGGGAAGAAATGTATTATTATTTATTTCTCATACAAATCTATATGGCTGCCCGACTCATGGACTGGTGATTCCAGGCAGCTTATAATATTAAAAATCCACTCCTTCCCCCAAGGTATGCTCCTAATTTTTTTCCCTTGGAAGATCAGACAGACAAACATAGAAGCAGGATGGTTTCATGGCTGCCCTAATCCTATGGAACAGATTCCTCCCAGATTAAAATGTCTCCCTCCCTAATATCTTTTAGGAAGGAGATTAAGACCAAGCACGTATTTGGTGCCTAGAGGATTGGTTATGAAGGCTATTATACTGTACATATTGTTGGTTTAAAGCTTTTATGCTTCATTATTTGAGCTGCCAGACATAAAAATGTTCTTAAATAAGTAAGTGGGGCTGGATAACATCTAGCTTTTCTGTGTAGAAGATTTTTACAGTATTTTTATAGCAGTACAGTAGCAACTGAAAACTAGAATACATTAAAGAATACATTAAAGTGGGGGATTTGTCATACTCAAGATGTTGAATTACACTATTCCAGAGCTCTTGCTAGCATGAGTGATGATGAGGGGAATGGTAGAAGCCGTAGTTTAGTAACATCTGGAGGACCACCTGTTCTGTATCTCTGGATTTAAGAACAATATTCGTAAGAAATGCACAGGAATGAATAGGTAACCTCCCTATCTATATAAATAAAAATGTAAATGTTCGTTTGTTCAAAATCTTAAATCTCCGAAGGTTCTTCACCGATTGCTTTGAAATTTTGACACAACGTTGCATTCGAATACACGCCTGTTTTTATATACCTATATTGTATAGATGTCACACCTGTGACAGGTAAAAACATGCTTTTTTAAAAAAAAACAGCGCCATCTGTTGGACGCTTTGAAATTGCCATTGAACATGCAATTCATTGAAACTCCCACGTGCAACATTTCCAAAGCATCCGGCATGAGAAAAGTATTGCAGAAATGCAAACTTATTGTTTGGGATGAATGCACGATGGCGCATTGAGACTGAGCCACAGCAACGCGTGGCCGGGTACAGCTAGTACATTAATAAAATTAAAAGAAAAGTGGGAGTTTGTTTTAATTAATAAATTTATTTAGCAACTTAAATGTCACATCAGTAATCAGAGTAATTCTTGGCAGCTTATATAATAGGGCTAAAATAACAGCATAAAAATAATAAGCACAGCGACCAACTATAAGTACAGTATAGTACCGGAGTAAACTCATCACAATCAAATACCGAAGTATGCTATCAGAAGGCAGACCAGCCCATAGTGTCTCTCAAGAGTAGGTTTACAGCTTTGCAAAGGTTCAGCAGAGTTGGGCTTTAAAAGGGTTCAGGGAAAATGCTATACCTGCTATAGCAGTGGTGGCGAACCTATGGCACGGGTGCCAGAGGCGGCACTCAGAGCCCTCTCTGTGGGCACGCGCACCGTCACCCCAGTCCTAGGTCTTCAGCTAGGTTTTATAAAACCTTTTCGCTTTAGGCCTCCACTGCCATGTACAAAAAAAAAAAAGTTCAATCAATCAATCAATTTCAACTTCTTGCGGGGGAAAAAAAAAGATCTTGCAAAGTTGGAATTGATTGATTG